TGAACAGAATACCCACTACTGAACAGAATACCCACTATGCCAGGCATTGGGTTACAATGTTTTATGTGTACTATCTCATCTAATCCTCAAGCCAACACTAGGATACATCACCTATCATGCCATTTTCCAAAGAAATTAAAAAGGCCAGGTGCTGTGGCACATGCCTGTAATCCCAACCGCTTGGGAGGCTAAGGCATGATGACCACAAGCTCAAAGCCAGCTTCAGCAACTTAGTGAGGCCCTAAGCAACTCACAAGTCTATCTCAAAATAAAATATGAAAAAGGGCTGGGAATGTGGCTCAGTGGTTAAGCACCCCTGATTTCAATACCTGATTCCTGGAGGAAGAGGAGGAGGAGGAGGAGGAGGAGGAGAAATAAACAGATTGGGTGAGTGATCCACCCAAAACCCAGCTACAGGTTATGGAAAGCCAGGAAAGGGTAGTAGGGCTTCAGAGTTCTTGGTGTCAATCCATGTGATAATGCCACCCAAATACTCCAATCATCAAGTATGAGACACAAGGCAGCACAAATTGAGGGACTACACCACCAGTGAAATGCCACATCATGTACAATCACAAGAATGGRATTCTAATTAGAAATAAGTTATATTCCAGTTATGTATAATGTCAAAATACACTCTACTGTCATGTATATCTAAAAGGAACAAATAAAAAATTAAAAAGATCAAAAATACTAAACCAAAAATACAAATAAATGAAAATAAAAAATAAGTTGAGGGGTAGGGGAAGACCTCCTACTACTGGCTATTAGATTCACTATACTCCGAAGTCATAAGGCACAGCACCTTGTAGCTCCCACCCCTATCCAAACAAGAAGCCGGAAGAGACTCCCAAAGTTGTCCTGCCTGAGGAGTGATTATGTTCAGAGCCATATGATGGTTTACTTCCTTACTGGGGCAAGTCTTCAGCCATCTGCTAAAGAGTATATGAGCCTTTTTTACTACAAGTCTCAAACACCCAACACTTATATTCAAATAAGGCCAAAGAGAAATCATAATTTTYCCTTTGTACTCTTTTACTTCCCTTTTACACATATAAATACATAAAAAAGACTGAAGGAAACTAGCCACCAGCAAGAAAGTTCCACTCCCTGTGGCCACCACACCATGAGAAGGCCAACCAAGCCAAGCAGAAACATCACCTGGAGAACTCAGRTCCTTGCAGGAGTACCACCCAGTCAAACCAGAAAATGAAAGAAATAATAAAATGCTGTGGGGTTAAGCTGCTGAGATTTGGGTTGGCTAGACAACTGAAACTGGTAGAAAAGTTTTTCCTGCTAGGCCAAACATCA